TTAGTCAGTTCTTCCCAGCGTCGTGTCTGCCCGGCGGCCAATGTGAGGTTCGGATGTGTGAGATGCGTGTGAAGGAAACGCGCGAGTCGACCTCGGCGAACCCGGCGGCCCTCCCACTTTCCACGTACTTTTTCGTCTGAACTCTTTGATGCGGCGTGCCTGGGCGGCGCCTGGGCTGGCGTCATCGCTGTTGGGAAGTATGCTGTTCTTCTTCTTCTAGACGCACCCTTCTCACATCGAAATGGATCTCTCTTCCAATGGCTGGCCACGTTTTCGTCTTCTTGTGAGTGGTCTGAGAGATTAGCTATTCGGAGATTTGTTGAGATCTTTGAAGATTTGACGATACTGCGATGCATTATTGATAGCGTCGATTATTGGAAGAAACTTCTGGCCAAATCCTATCCCTTTTCCAAACACTGACGTCCCTGCAGAGATACTGAATCTAGTATGCCAAAATTCCGGGAGGTGTATGAGGTTCTAGAACCGCCCGCTGTTCGGAATTCGCACCCCCTCCGGGCGAGCACGGGTAAAAACTTCAGAAAGCCTCACTGAATTCTAGGACGTGAAGATGCTGGTTGGGGGGGGGGGGGGGCGTGAAGTAAAGAAGACTTTTCTCCCACTGGAGATGGTGTGGTGTACGTCAGCGGGAATGCCGGGCATAGCAGGAGCGGCGTGCCACCTTCTCGTTCATTCTTCCCTTTTGACTTCCTGTTGAATGCCGCGCGGAGTTGGGGTGACATGTGTCCCGTTCCTGTGGGTGTGTCTAGTTGAGAGTTTCCGAAATCCAGAATAACCCAGAATGGTGGAAGATGCCTCGGAGTTCCGAGGTTCGGTTCCACCTCCTTGGTTTCCGTTTCCCTTCTTCTCTAATCCAGTTCATCTGCGCGAATTCGAAATGTCTGCCGAATTTCTTACAAAAGAGCGGATGGCGTGCAATGTTTCATGGAAGTTTGAGAGCACACTCGAAATGGGATTTCTGCTGCCCTGTTCTCTTTCTTTTCCGGATTCGGAAATACGGGTCCGCCGTTGAGAACCCCCCACTCGGCTTCCGCACATTGTTTGCGGTCCGGGGTCCCGGGCCCGGGTGGGTGGGATGGGGAAATGGGGCAGAGGAAAAAAGAGGACAAGCTTTGATGATTTGAAATGTTGTCTGCGGATAATATGGCCAGGCTTGTCGGGTTGATTCTGTACCCCGGCGGAGATCTCGGAGAGTTCTAGTTTCTTCTTGATGAACGGCTTCGATGAGGGATGATCCGCCTGTAATTTACGGCATTTATCTTCTCTCAGTTTTTTTCCTTCTTTTTTTTTTTTAAAGCACCGAAGAAACCTCAGTGAATTTTCCTTCGAAACGGGCTTCTGGATTCAGCGAGCTCATGGGTTTGAAAGTATGTGGTCGGGTTTGAGGACGGGAAACCCTTGAGTGACGAGATTGGATTACTTACAGTATTGGCGAGTGCCATGTTCATCCGCTTGTCTTGACTTGCCGCCGCTCAACGCTCAGCGCCATCTCGTTTCTTTTTGATGACAGAAGCGTGCTGAATCCCGGACTTTCCTTTGCTTTTATTCCGTCAACAGTCGACTGCGATTGACCTAAGAACTCTCAGAGCGACGCGGCCTTAAATCAAGACGCTGTGAAGGTGGTAAATAGCGGAATGCATTCTGCTACTCATACAGTTTACTAAATAGAGCTACCGCGAAGAGTCGTATTCTATAACAGATCTGATCTTATTATTATACTTTTAATACTGGCAGTAAGAGAACTGAGAAGCTTGGTATCATCCGCATACTGTGTTAGCCACGGTTGATGAGCATCATCGGCTTCTTCATCTTAATCGTAAGCCTTGTATCCGCACCGTGTGGTCTACCACCTCTGTTCCTTCAACATTCTGCTTCTACTCGCCCATCAAACGAGGCTATTCCTTCTTGTAGCAACTGTCTTCCCGTATATAGATGTTTCAGAGATTGGGGTCTCCACTGCAGGTCTGGTTGTTGCAGAGAACGGCGGATAACCGGTACTTCTCATCAGCGCATGATTTGAGTAGGTTTGAAGATGATCAACGATAGTCTCTTGATCTCTAACCACCGCACGCCACTGATAGCAGCTATTCCTCCTCCATTTAGAATTTATCGCCACTCTTCGTGGGCGGCAGTTCGCCTTGCGCCTGTCCCGACCCGTGCATCTAAGGAACCTTATACATTCCATCCCAAAGCCTGGTACTATGCACTCCGAGTCTATTCAGCTCTGTAACCGCATGTCGCGAAGCCAAACACAACAGCAAGCAAGGGTTATCAACGGCCCATTTGTCTCAGCTCACGTGGGGCGAAGAACTTGATGTTTTCCCACCCAGTAATGGACTGCTTTGACACAGTCAGAACATTCGAGTCAACACATTTGCTGCTGATGGTATCAAGAAACAAGATAATAGTTATTTACAAATACTGGCAGCACGTCAATAAGTACTGATAGGCAGGTGCTTGAGAGGAGCCTGCTCAGGCCGAGGTCCCGCAAGCCGAAAAACCGCAGTCTCGGCGGTTCCCCTTTGACGTTCCATTCCGTAAAAGGGGATCCCGGCAGGGACGGAACGGCAAGATGACCTACCCCGACAATCCGTGCCCGCTCGCCAAGAAGGGTAATTCAACGACACTTTTGCTAGCCTACTGCTAGAAAGCCGCAATGTAACTGCCTAGTTGTAGATTGCTCGGAAGACGCGGATGTTTTTGGCTGCTTTTCGCTCCCAGCTATATCTGTCTATGTTGATGTCTAGACAGGTCTTAGGACACCCACAACGCAAACCCTGAGAGAAGCACGCATGGCATTGTGTAATCTCACTAACAAACCCAATCGGGAACAATCACATTGGCAAGGATCAAATCCCGACAGTAGCGGTCAAGAAAACTCCTGCCGTCTACACTCCCTCGGCCGAGACGGGGTCACTCGTTATTCGGGAGGATGAAAGTGCGAGGGAGCGAAACCATTTGCTGGAATATCCTTACACGGGAAAAACATGCTATACGCGCAAGTGAAGCCGTTAGCGCAGGTCCGTTGTGCCGTATGGTAGGTAACTGCCTTCTCGAAACCCTGGCGCTTCCTGCAGGCACGCTCATGCGGGATTCATGCGGTTGAAGATGAATAGTGGGACACACGCGAACAGCAATCAGCCCAGCGGTTGACTAGCCGAGATGGAGGGTGGTAGCGAGGGGGGCCATCGGCGGGATGTCTGGTACTCTGTGATGGGCAGACTGAAGGCAGGGGGAGAAGCGGATGTCGAACGGGTGGGTTCATCGATACGCGGCTGGATTACGTCTCACTGCTGTCACTAATATTGGATAGTTACGTCTTTGTTGAGAAGACACGGACTGGTGAACCCAAAGTATTGTGAGCTTTCAGAAGAAGAACCGGCTCAAATCACCTTGGCTCTCCAGGAGTCCTCCAACCTCCCACAACGGGGCCCCGCATTCAGCCGAAGAATCCGCTCCGAGGTCGCCGGGGGAAATCACGCTTGTGGCACGGACTCGGAGCCAATTAGAAGGTCGATGCCCCTCCATCCCTCCTTCGGTAGCCGGTCCAGGCGTCCCCTCGCTTGCGCGTGCCCACTGTCCACATCAGAACAATTGGGGGCGGTGGAGGGAGGGGGAGGGGCAGCTGGGAGGAGACAACTGAGTGCCCCGCCATCCCACTAAGTCGGGTTCCTGGGTGACGACGCAGCTTTTGGACACCTTTATGGATAGCTTTTTGCGCGGAACGATACCGTTAAAAGATCCAGGTAGCAAAATGAATGTGGTTTGGATTTTCAGTCCGGGTGACACAAAGCTTGAGAGGCTCCCTCCCCATGGTTCACTTGGACAGTCTTACCTCGTCATAAAGTTGTGTCCCGGATGTAAGGTACCAAAGCGGCATGGCATGTGAAAAACCTACCACAAAAAAGAGACCATCCGCCATGCAGTTCATCGGATGTGTACACAGGCAACACAGGAACACAAGAGGACAGATAAAGAAAGAGATAGAGGCAAGATAAGCCTAATGCAAAACCTTCTGCAGAGCTTATCTGCATCACAGACACTTGGCCTCGTACAGCCTCTCACAAACATCACACCAGTTGATTTGCCTGTTCATCTGTCTACGTGATCCCGCGCCAGGCGAGCCGATCATCTCACACCATAAGGTATCCTGCGCTTTATCCCGCATCCCAAGACGGCTCATCCATGCAGACCTACCCAACGCAATCCCCCTCCAACCCGAAAAAAACGCGCCGTTCCCGTAACCGTTTAACCAAAGGCTGAGGTGCTCCTGTCACCCACAGATAGCTCCACCAGAGCTGTCCCTAGGTGGCCTGTCATTGTTCAACCCCGTCCGTCCGCCCGTCTCACCGCCCCTCCCAACGACGGACGACGTAGCGCCAGGCGGCCCCCATCCCTCATCCTTCCGCCGGCGTCCCGGATAGCTCCTTGGCCTAATCTAAGCACCGCAGGTAGCTTTAGACGAACCATCTTGTATCTCCCGCAGCCTACCGAGCTATATACCTACCGTACCTTACCCACGTCTCCCGAACCCCTTCTCTTCTCTTCTCTTCTTCTTTCTCTCTTCATCCCATAACCACAAATCACAGAGAATAGTCTCACCAGGATCCCAAAGCTTTCAACCAAAAAACCACCACCTACACCAAAACCCTCACCAATCGTCTGATCGCGCTTACGAGTCGCGGTCAACCCCGTCGTCAAGACGTTTTCCAACCTCCTCAACTCGTAAGTATAGCCTCATCTCACTCAATCACTCAACATCAGGTTTCACTGTCCACGTCACAATCTCATAAACCACTTCCACGAAACGTTTGCTAACTACAATGTCTAGGGTCCATCACCCGTACGCAGGAGCCCGCTGCTCAGCCGCCCCCGGGGCTTCAGCGGACTCGGCCTTTGATCTCTAAAGGCCTTTTCTCATCAACGAGAACAAAACCAACCTACCGCCTGAACACTGAACAAGAATCTACCTCTCAATCACCATGGCTCCCCATGCAGAGGCAGACTCGGGCTCCGCGCACGGAGATGGACCAACCAACGGCAACGGCGCCGTGACTACTAACCTTGCCCACCACCCCCAGCACGACCGCGAGCTCTTCACCGTCGACTCCCCCAACGTCGTCTACAACGACAACGAGATCCTCTCAAAGTACACCTACCGCACCACAAAGGTCGCCCGGGACGCCGCCACCGGCAAGTACGTCGCCAAGCCCACCACCACGCTCTACGAGTTCAAGACGGACCGCAAGGTCCCCAAGGTCGGCATGATGCTCGTCGGCTGGGGCGGCAACAACGGCACCACCGTCACCGCCGGCATCCTCGCCAACCGCCGCGGCCTCGAGTGGGATACCCGCGAGGGGCCCCGCGCCGCAAACTACTACGGCTCCGTCATCATGGGGTCCACCGTCAAGCTGGGCACCGACGCCGAGACGGCAAAGGACGTCAATATCCCCTTCCACGACCTGCTTCCCATGGTCCACCCCAACGACCTGGCCATCGGCGGTTGGGATATCAGCAAGATGAGCTTGGCCGACGCCATGGACCGCGCCCAGGTGCTGGAGCCGACGTTGAAGATGCAGGTCAAGAAGGAGATGGCTGAGATGGTCCCGCTTCCCAGTATCTACTACCCTGACTTCATCGCTGCCAACCAGGAGGACAGGGCCGACAATTTGATCCCCGGAAGCAAGGCCTCCATGGCTCACGTTGAGCAAATTCGCAAGGACATTAGGTAAGAATTTTCTCTATGGGCTATCAAGTGACATTTTTGGTTGCTGGTGGTGGTGGTGTTGGTGCTGACTGTAAGAATAGCGACTTCAAGGAGGCAAACGGTCTCGACAAGGTCATTGTGCAGTGGACCGCAAACACGGAGCGATACGCCGACATCATCCCGGGCGTCAACGACACCGCCGAAAACCTGCTCAAGGCCATTGAAGAGGGTCACGAGGAGGTCTCGCCCTCGACCGTCTTCTCCGTCGCCTGCACGCTTGAGGGTGTTCCCTTCATCAACGGCTCCCCGCAGAATACCTTTGTCCCCGGAGCCATCGAGCTGGCCGAGAAGCACGGGTCTTTCATCGGCGGCGACGACTTCAAGTCGGGTCAGACCAAGATGAAGTCGGCACTTGTCGACTTCCTCATCAACGCAGGTATCAAGCTGACTTCTATTGCGAGCTACAACCACCTGGGCAACAACGACGGCAAGAACCTCAGCTCGCACAAGCAGTTCCGGTCCAAGGAGATTAGCAAGTCCAACGTGGTGGACGATATGGTCGAGGCCAACACGGTGTTGTACAAGGAGGGCGAGCACCCTGACCACACCGTCGTCATCAAGTACATGCCGGCCGTGGGCGACAACAAGCGCGCTCTCGACGAGTACTACGCCGAGATCTTCATGGGCGGTCACCAGACCATCTCGCTCTTTAACGTGTGCGAAGACTCGCTGCTGGCATCGCCGCTCATCATCGATCTCGTGCTCGTAGCCGAAATGATGACGCGCATCCAGTGGAAGGCTTCTTCGTCGGATGGTGTCGCGACCAAGGACTTCAAGGGCTTCCACAGCGTGCTGAGCATCTTGAGCTACATGCTCAAGGCGCCTCTGACCCCGCCGGGGACCCCCGTCATCAACGCGTTGAGCAAGCAGCGTGCCGCGTTGACTAACATCTTCCGCGCTTGTGTCGGCTTGGAGCCCGAGTCTGAGATGACGCTCGAACACAAGCTGTTCTGATGCGTTGCCGGACTGCGGATGAATATTCCATTCTTTGCCATGCCACCTGGCCCTCCTTTGAATTGTTGCTTTGCTTTTTTTCCAATTTGGGGGTTCGATAACAACACGATTACCTCATCCGATCACTGAAAGTTGCGTTGATGATTTGAGATAGTACCTATATTATTACAAAAAATACAGTCAGTCTTTACCGCAATGCCGTAAGCGTCCCACATGTCAGAGTTTTGGCATCTCGTATCGTGAAGCTATTTGGGAAGCAGCCACGCAAGCTCTCATAACTTGAACCTTAGAAGTGCCGCTCTCGAAAGCGAAAAGCTTAAGCTTGCTGGAAGCATGGACGTGTGCTGTCGCTGTCAAGAGTCGAGACGAGTTTGTACCTAGAGGTGGTGTCAAGCTGGGTGTTGATTGGTCGTTGAGGGAAAAGACGAGGCTGTTAACCGTACAGCATTGAAGCAGATGGGACGACGGCCAATCAGTGCGCTGAAAATGCTCTCAATGGCTTTGGCCCAGACACGCCGCTCGTTATCTTGGGAGCATCGGACAATATCAATCAACATGTCAACTGCGCGGGCCTCTTTTTAGTGACAGGCGAGAAAGGACGGACCCCGGCCAGGGCCCTGGTGGCTGGAGAAGAAAATATCTGGAGCTTCTGGAGATGCTGAAGAATGTTTCGAGCCGGGGTGGCTGGAATGACATTCCGATAATTCGTATCCAGCTGCCAACAGCCCTGTCCTCTGCTCGTTATGTTCTCCGCAGTCAAGCGAGGGAGAATGACGAACGTCGATAGACGAGAGGAAAAAGGGGGGAAACTCGGTGGGAACTCTGCGAGGCGTTCGGTGTCGGTAAACAGAGGCGCAATTGCATGCTGTCCAATGGTGAAGGTCTGAGGGACTAGGTGGGGCGTGGGGATATCCCCAAAGCTAAATTCCAGCCCCGAGTAAGACGTAACGGTGCAGGAGCAGGGGAACAAAGGGGACTCCGTACTTTCTGTAAAAGACATGATTTGATTGGGTCAGAGGCAGGAGCTGACCTTGTTAGCTGCCCCTGGAGGCCTGTGGAGGGACCAAATGGCGACCACTCGCGACGGCCCTAGTTGATGCTGAGTGCTCCGCTGTGCCTGATCTGCCAAATGGTTGCCAGGGTGTTGCTGGTGATGAAATTGCCCAGCTTTAATCAAGCATAACGTAGCAATAGAACCGTAAGTAGGCGGGTGAGACGGCTGCTTTGGGTGGGAAGAAACCACACTGAGAAGCGCAGAGAGAGAGAGAGAGAGAAGAAAGAGAGAGAGGAAGAAAAAGTACGAGGTGGGAGGCCGGCGGGCGGGAAGATGCAAGGGAACCGGGGAACGGACAGCGGGCAACCTTACTCATCCCTCCGGAAGGTACCTTACCTTCCTCTGTCTTTCTCTGAAGAAGGTGGGAAAGACCTACCTCATGAAAGGGACACACCTAATTACCTATTGAGTGAAGAAAAAAAAAGATACATCTTCATTTGCCAAGACGGGCCATTTTGACGCAGGCGCGTGTGTCGTCTGCCAAGTACCTTATTTGCCTTTCAGACAGCCTGCCTTCGCCCAAACCAGCACTTAATCTGCGTTTCCTGATTTCTCCCTCTATTACCCCTTGGGCGACAACGCCATTATTTCTCGTAACCTTTCCTTTTCCTTTCTCTCTTCCCTCCTTCCAGTTGAAACATCACGTCAAACCTCGTTCACGACTGTTTTCGCATCATCGACAGGCGCCACGGCCGCCACGACCACAGATAGACTTGCGACAATGTTGTTTTCTACACTTGGGCGCGCTGCCCTTGCTGCTGGTTAGTGTCCTAGCTGCTTATTTGCGCGTTTCCCCATTGGCGACCAAGTCCAGCAACGAGGGTTGGCGTCATCCTTCAGCTTCAATTCAACAGAGATTCCTTTTTTTCAGAGGCACAGACATACACATTGATTAGACACCCTGGACAATTCATCGCCATCCTCGTCAATCTAGCAGGAACCCCACACTGACATGGACTTTTCTCGTAGCCGCGTTTGCGACATGCTCGTTTGCACAAAGCTCAAAAGACGATGATCTCGGCCAATCCACCTTTGTCGCCCCGGAAAACAATGTCGCCTTTGGCTTCACCGTCCCCGAAAACAGCGGCGAGGACATCTTCTTCACGATGCGGGCCCCCATCGACCGCACATGGGCCGCCATTGGCATCGGCCAGGATCGAATGGCCGGTAGCTTGATCTTCATGATCTATCGCGACGAGACGGGCAACAATGTCACCTTCTCACCTCGCATAGCTTACGGAAACTACGAGCCGACGTACTACAACAATATGCAGTGGGACGTTCTTGCCGGGACGGGTGTGTTCAACAATTCCATGTACTTCAGTGCGCGATGCACTGCCCACTGCAGGAGCTGGGTGGGAGGATGGATCGATGTCTCGAACGAGAACCAAAAGGCCATTTATGCTGTCGGGCCCAAAGGAAGCTTCTTCTCGAATAAGCAGGACACGTCTGTCAAGTTCCACGAGGAGTTTGGCCGCTTCACACTCAACATGAAGCGCACAGTTGGCCCCGGCGACGCGCCCGTGCTCAAGGACAGCTCCGTCAATGAGGGCACAACCCAAGTCTCTGCCAACGATGGCCGGAGAGACTACAAGTCCATCTTCCATGCGGTTCTGATGGTGGGCTCCTTGGTTTTCCTCATTCCTTTCGGTGCCATCCTCCTTCGCTTTGGAAACATGGTCAGGTGGCACGCCCTCAACCAAGGTGTTGCTTTGGTTATCGTTCTCATTGGTTTCGTGCTCGGAGTTCTAACCAGCTTCTGGTACTCACGTGTAAGTCTCCGTAAGCTTGGATTGAAGAGGTGTCGATGCTAATGTAGACAACAGTCTCGTGGTTTCAAGTCAGCACATCAGATCATCGGCTTCATCGTGGTTGGCTTCCTCTTGGGTCAATTCGCCATTGGCTTTCTGCATCACCAAAAGTACAAGAAGACGCAGCGCGATACACTATACAAGGTTGTTCACCAGTGGCTTGGTCGCATTACGATTGCTCTTGGCACTTTCAACGCATTCTTGTAGGTCAAATGTCCTTCAATAAAACTTACAATATGCTAATATGTGCAGGGGCTTCTCATTCGCCTTGAACCGCCGGTTCAATTACTTCCTCGCTGCATTCATCATCCTCATGCTTCTTGTCTCGCTGTTCTTCACCTTCGGAGGCAAGTGGGTCCGCGGCCGGCTGCCCGCTAAGTTCGGCAACCAAGGAACGGGCGGGTACAACCCGGAGCCTTGGAGACAAGCACCTCCGCAAGGCGGATACGCATACACCGGTGCCGCTCCTCCTGCCTACCAGCCGCCTTCTCATCAGAACCAAAGCGTCGGTCTGACAAGCATGGTGGCGGATCCCACGCAACCGACGAAAGAGAGGAGTGGTAGCCGCGACTACCGGAACAACGACTTGGGTTCTGCGCACCAACCGCGCGAGATGGTGTAAACCACTGGCTCGGTGTCACTCCGACTTTGACATGAAACTCGTCTGCATTTTTGGCGTTGTGTGGGACAGGGAAACGAAAGTGAATGGAAAATGAATGCTGGGTAGTCCTTGCGGATGGCCCTCTGCTTCGATGCTATGATTTAGCTGTATATTTAATGTATTTCCCGCATCTAGTTTCATACCAAAAGATGCATGATTCCCAAAGATATTGGAATGGCTAACAAGAGTAGTTTGAGACTAACAATGCGGTTGCTAGTCGTAGTGCTGAGCGAGACCGGACGGCGTGACGGTCTTCGGTACCGAATCGGCATATTGCGACATTCGTCGTTTGACCGGCGGTGGGTCAATCACCTGAAGATGCCAAAGTTCTTTCTCCATCGAGTCTTCCTTGTTTGCTTTGCTATTGAGTGGTGAGAGATTCAGATCCCGCTTGCTTTTGAATGGAACAAACAGAATGTTATCAATCAGGCCTGGCCGGAGGGAGAAACGCCAAGAAGCTCCGCAACGGTAACTCTAACGCACGGGATCCGGCGCGCCGTTCAACATCAACGGTTCGGTTTTGGAAAAAGAAATTGCGGGTACGCCCCGGTCCCCCGGCGCCGGGATCGGCCGTTGAGAGCTCGGCCAAGTTACGACTTTTCACCGTCGTGACGTACCCGCGTGAAGCGGTCAATTAAGTACCTCAGCCGCAACCATGAATGACACGCGACCTGCCAAGAACTTCTAAAGTGTGTGTATCAATTGGCGCGCCGAACCAGAGCTTCAAGCGGTAGCGGCTGACTCTTGTTACATGCTTGCCCTTGTGAGGATAAGTGGCGGCAACTTGCGTCCGTTTCGTTTTCTTCTTCTTGCGCTCGCCTGTTGCCGCACGGCTCGATCCCGTGCCGGCCTGGGCGGAGTTTCCCCGACGTCTATTTGATCTTTTGTACTTGGGCCCAGCTTTTTCCAACTTCATCTCTTGAACAACCTATTGTCTGCATTCTTGCCTCCCCTCATCTTTGGCCGGATGGTTTGTAAGGTCAGCTCTTCTTTTCGTGTGTCTCGCAAGCACCCATAAACTTGTAGAATACACGAGGTTTCCGTCACTTTATCTCTGACGTAGACACGTGTGTGCTCACTCGTAACGGCCAACGAGATACACCCTCAATTATTCCCGGTCGTTCTTCAACGGTGGAGTGTAACCTCAATACCAAAACCTCGGCACCGGGGCTCCTACACAATGTCGTCGCGGCGCATAGAGGACGAGCTGGTGCTCCAGCACCACGATGAGGATGCCGACACCGAAAGAGGGGAGTACTCGGACTCGGACGACGATGCGGATGAGGACACGCCAATGATGCTGGGCCTGACCGATGGTGCGGTTGAGGCTGCCGATGCGCCACTCTCAAATGCGCCCCCCAAACCTCCGCCGCTACCTCTCGTCAAGAAGCCTGAGAAGCCACCGCCCGTGGCCTGGCGCGATCTGCCAAAGAAGCAGCAGTTGTTCGTGATTACGATGACGAGGTTAAGTGAGCCTCTTGTCCAGACTTCTCTCCAGGTATGTATCTCTTGAAGCTCCGTCAAGTACCTTCGGCGCAAAGTTTCGGAACATGTTATATCCAAAGTGCTCTCACGCGCATTTCCGTATGGGAGAGGTTTGTCTTGAGAGTAACTTCCCACTCGCTAACACCGTCTTCAGTCCTACATGTTCTACCAACTCAAATGGTTTGACCCAACGCTGCCCGACTCCGTAATCTCAAGCCAGGCCGGCATCCTCCACGCCTCTTTCACAGCAGCACAGTTCATCACAGCCATGATCTGGGGCCGCCTCGCAGACTCGAAGCGCTTCGGCCGCAAGACGGTTCTCATGATCGGCCTCCTCGGCACCTGCTTCTCCTGCATCGGCTTCGGCTTCTCCCAGTCCTTTGCGCAGGCCCTCTTCTTCCGCTGTCTAGGCGGCGCGACAAACGGCAACGTCGGCGTCCTGCGGACAATGATTAGCGAGATCGTCCGCGAAAAGAAGTTCCAGGCCCGCGCTTTCATCTTGCTACCAATGACTTTCAACATTGGCGTCATCATTGGGCCCATTCTGGGAGGTATCCTCTCCGACCCAGCGGGGAGCTACCCTTCCTTGTTTGGTGATGTTGCTTTCTTCCGCAAATACCCCTACGCGACTCCAAACCTGCTCAGTGCAATCTTCCTCTCCTGCGCTGCCCTGTCCGTCTGGCTCTGCCTCGAAGAGACCCACGACGCCCTCCGCGAAGAGGGCCCGGACCTCGGATCCCGCGTAGGATCAAGCATCGCCTCCCTTGTCCGTAGAATCATTGCTCGTCGACGAAGAGGGTTGAATAGCAACGCAGACGCAGCCTACACGCCCCTCCACTCCAGCTCCGCAAGCACAACCGACGTCGACGTCGAACTCTCCCCGGAATCCGCACCACCACCGAAACAAAAACCCCGCCCGCGATACCGCCACCGCCTCCCCTTCCGTCGCATCTTCACCCGCAACGTCCTCATGACCTTCTCCGCGCACTTCTTCCTCGCCTTCCACGTCGGCACCTTCAACGCCCTCTGGTTCGTCTTCCTCTCGACCCCGACCTCCGCCTCCCCGCCTCACCTCCCCTTCCGCTTCTCCGGCGGGCTCGGCATGCCACCGCAGTCCGTCGGCATGGCCATGGCCATCCTCGGCGTCATCGGCATCAGCCTCCAGCTGCTCGTGTACCCGCGCCTGTCGGCGCACCTCGGCACCGTGAAAGCCTGGCGGCTGTTTTTGTATTTCTTCCCGGTGACGTATTTTCTGGTGCCGTACCTCGCCGTCGTGCCCACCACCGACGCCGCGCCGCCGCCGGGGCCGAAGGGCGGGCCGGCGATTTGGTTCGCTATTGTCGGGGTGTTGCTCTTCCAGGTTCTGGGGCGGACGTTTGCGCTGCCGGGGCAGACGATTTTGATCAATAACTGTACGCCGCACCCGTCTGTGTTGGGGACGATTCACGGGCTCGGGCAGAGTGTTAGTAGTGCGGCGAGGACGATTGGGCCCGTGTTGTGCGGGTGGCTTTATGGACGGGGGCTCGAGGGAGGCGTTGTGGGTGCTGTGTGGTGGGGTTTGGCTGGTGTTGCAGTGTTGGGGGTGATGGCGAGCTGGGCTGTTTGGGAGGGAGATGGGCATGAGATTTGGATTGATGGGGATGAGGTTGCTGCTGAGGAGGAGGAGGAAGTGCACAGGCGGTAATGATGGGTTTATGGTAGAAGGAGTGGGAGTTTGGAAGTTTGAGCCTGTATGGTTTTTTCTCATACTCACTTACATAGCCTCCAGAGCAGAGTATAATAATTCGTAGATTTCTCCAAGGTATCTTAAACTACCTTAGCCTTCGTTACAGTTTCAACTCAAAGAGATATGCAAATGCTGGTATGCACTACTACAGGGTAATAACGTACAGAGATATCCGCAAAGGCGTAGCTCTCCTTCACAGCACACGTACGCCTACCTCATACCAACCTACATCCTTACTTCCCTACGTTCTTAGAATAAACAGAATCGTTTCAAACACTATAACGTCAGATACAAACTCCATGCGCCCATCAAATTGCCTCTCAGGTCAGGTAGAAAGAGCTAAAATGACAGCTCTCTCGTTCTGGAGATTCCTCACTGCTTTCGAGTTCGCTTGCCAAGCTGCTTCATTCTCGAACCAAAACCCTCTTGACATTACAGACGCAAGTGGAGGAAGGAAAGACTCCGACGTAAGGACCAATGAGTCCGTGGTGCAGGCCATGCGTGATGCAGGGGCCTCGGGCTTCATACCATTTTCCAAGTTTTTTCTTCTTTCCGTTTATTTCGGCGGACGACATTAGAGCCTGCTGCTGCAGGCCGAGAACGGAGTTTCAGGCTGTCTCATTGCCACCAACGTGCTTGCCGGCCCTGCTAACTTATTCCAGGGTTGTCGTTCTTTGACATGCCACTGGGCGTTGGAGACTCAAGCGGGTTCTCGCAGCTTGGTGTAACGATGCTGTTGGAAGTGGTTGTGTGACTTATATGCATGAAGCGCGGCAAAATCCTTGGCTCGACTCTCACCAGCCTAATCTTTCAAGCTGTCTGCCGCGCCTAGTCTCCCTCTCCCCTGCGCTCCTTCAAAGAAAAGTTCAAATATGTAGTAGTCATGCCGCTTGTGCTTGGTCCGTTCTACTCTTCCTTCTGTTTGCTCTTTAAAGTCTTCATTGTGCTCTCTTATTCTCTACGTCTACTGAGCCTAGTGAGCGTCGGTGGCAACTCCCCTCTCAGAATGCGAATCGCCGCTGCCCATCTTCTTCTTCTTAGTCCCCTCTTTTGGAATTGCACCGGGTCGGCCGTCTTCCATACACCACCAGCCCCCGGCCCCCAATACGACTTTCAGGACAATCCTCAGTATGCGCTAGGCGAGATAATAGACATCCAATGGAGCACTGATGACCAGTTCGTTGACTTATTCGTTGTTCAAACGTCTCCGGACTTAGAGACCCTTGCCGCTGTGATTAGTAGGTCGATTTAATGTCAACTCGCCTTGACCCCAACTTATCTTCGTTACTTGATGTTCTTTCGATGTCACGAAGGATTTCTGACCGGAACGATATATAGTGGACGAAAACGTGCCTTCGACCATCAAATGGCGCGTCAGCTTCGATGGCTTTCCGTCCTCGCACGACCCAGATCTGAGTAACGTATACTATCTACACTTGCAGGCCGCTGGTCAAAATGGTACAGGCGTTACGTGCCACTATTTTAATATCACTCGCGGCGATGCCACATCAGTCTCGTCGTCGGCATTGTCGTCGGCCTCGCCGACCGCCGCACCTTCCTCTTCAACATCACCATCATCGATTGGATCCCCGACGGCAACGCCGAGCGCAATGAGCACGCCAGATCTTGACCGTGGTGAGCTATCGACTGGCGCAGTGGCTGGTATTGCCGTCGGAGCGACCTTTGTTGGGACGCTCGTTGTGGTGGGATTAGCGGGATTACTGTTCTGGCGACGGTGGAAAAACAATGAGAAGGGGGGAGGGGAAGAAGCAGCCGCGATGGCCACTGCGAACGATGAAAGTGAGATACATGTCTACAAGAGAGACTTATCCGTGCCGTCGCGTGAGCTGTATGTTGAGAGTCCTCGACGCTTTAGAGCGGAGACTTCGGAACCGAGCGAAATGAGGTTTGAGATGTCGGGTGATTCGGTCGTATGTAAATGAAACGTGGAGTTTAGTTAAGCTGGCGGAAGTCGTGACTATTTGCAACTAAAATTTGAGATTCAAAGGTGAGGTATGTCGTCTCTTACTTTCGGGGATAACGTTGTTAACATGAAGGATAGATATATGGACATCATATACTCTTGTTCAAACACACGACCAGCATGGGAATCCAAAGGGGTCACGACAGCTTCAGTAAAGTCCCTCGTACATGGTGATGAGAACGAGAAGCGGAGGTTGAAGAGTCACATGACATGCGTAGTAATCGATAGGCGTTTTCTTAAATTGACAATTTGGATCATAAGGCAGACTTCTCGACACAGGAATGAAATGTCTCTGAGCTTCCCATCTCTCAATTTCCATGGTTGGGCGAACTCCAGGTTTTGCATTCGCGCTAGTAATGCGATGGCTTTGTGTGACACATTTAATTGGTGTCGTCTGCTGCAGTCCCTTTCCAGCTTCACTCCAAAACTGCCCTGGACGGCGCAACTTCATGCCGAGCCTTCTGCGGCTGAACATAGCGGTCACGCATTCGAGACATTTGATCGATCTTCTTAGTGTAACGGTTTCAGACAGCCAAGAATATCAAGATACCCAGATCGCCCTCTCATATCTGTTCTTGGATGCTGAACACGACATCGTCCCCAAGTCGTGATATTGAGCAACGAAAGACAAGCATGGATTACAGCAGACAACCATACTTTCCACCTCCGCCAGGTCAAGCTGGAAATCCACCACCGCCGATTCCGCTACGCCCAGAAACAACAATGCCAGCAATTTCTCCTCCCCATGACTATTCGCAAGGGCAATTCCAACAATCTCAGACTGTGCAAAGTCCTCAATATGGCGCTCAACATCCTCAACAAACTTACCAGCCCACATACGGCGCTCCTTCTTACCATCAGAGCCCCCCCAACAGTCACAATTATCATCAACCAAGCTCCGTAAGCCGACCTGAGCCAACTCCTCAGAACTTTTATTCGAATGGCCAGCCTCCCTACACCCAGCCGAACTCACCCTCGGCAACGTACACGCACCCTAATCAAGGACCATCATCGTCTCAGAGTCATAGTCTATCAAGTGCTCTGCAACAGGCGACCTCATTGTTTTCGGACAGTGACAAAGTTGTCAAGTCTTACTATGGACTCAAGAGCAAAGCCAGAGCCAAGTTCACCCAATTCGTCTCGCAGAGCGTGACACCTTCACAGCCTACCTACAATCCTCAGGTCCAGTACGCTCAGAACCACAACCCGCCGTATAACCCTTCACCATCGTCTCCATCTCCCGTTCATCCTCCCGGCGCTCAATACCATCAAACTCAGCAATCTTACTACCAGCATCCGAGCCCAATAGAAAACTTGGCAACTCCACCAGCACAGTCTCCCTACTATCACCCGCCCCCTTCTCAGGAACAGGCCTATCCTGTACCATCTCATAGTTCAGCTGTGCTGTCACAGCAACGAGATCAGTATAGTCAACAGACTCAAAAGGATTCATCTCCTCATTATCTGGCTCATATCTCACAAACCCCCGGGAACGATGGTCCATCTGGCATGCCGACACCCAGTGCCATCTTTTATGGGAACGACAATCCCAATTCCGCCGTTCAGCAACACACTGTACCTGCAGCTTCAACAGCAACTCACACACCGCCTGTGGTAACACTGCAGCAACTTCCTGAGCATCAGCAGCATATTCAACTTGTCCAGGAAGGGACCTCTCGCCCAATTGAAGCTACGCAAGAGCCAGGAAGACCTACAGCAGGCGCTATTCATCCCTCGACCTCGCTGATAGAAGTCAATACCGCTGAATGCCCACCTTCTCAACCCCACATTGCCGAGAAGGTCGCTCATGTTTCTCACGAGGAAGTACCGGCAGCCAGTTTAGTCGACCAAATTTCTACAATCCTCGGCAATGTCAGCATTGGCGAAGCCCCTTCATCGCAGAGCAACCCTCCGACGCCTGACGCTGTCGACTTCCACGACTACAAAAGAGCCCTTCCCCGTGTCACCGAAAATGGGGAACCTAACGCAGTTGTTTGGGAATGCCCAGCAGACCGAGAGGTCAAGTATGAAACAGACTGGTATCATATATCAGACATACCAAACTTCCTCGTCTGCACACACTGCCACGAGAGTTGCCTTGCACAGACACCCCTGGGAGGCTCTTTCATACGCACCAGGCAACCGGGAGGACGTTGTCGGTTCAATGCTCCCCGAATCACCAGACTCCTGCTACCCGAGTGTCTCAAGCGCAGAGATATCACTCCTCTGCGGGAGTTCATGACAGCTCGACTCGATGTCCTGGACTGCAAAGGAGTCTCGGGTGCCGATGGCTCAGCAGGAATCAAATGGTACCAACCGCTTGACGACAGACTCGATGGCTTCGTATCTTGTGAGGCTTGTTATCAAGATATCGTGCTGGCAACATCGTTCCGTGACAAATTTGTTCCGCACGACTCACCCCAAGCATCTGATGCCGTCTGGGCCTGCGACATCTGTCTCCCCTTCATGAGTCGATCCATAGTCAGACTTTCAAAATCAGGAGTCGACGGCTGGAACTCATGGGTAGAAGCAGCAGCGAAGCACATTGCTCTGCCTGAATGCGACAAGGGGCCCGTATCGCCGTCCTCCAGACGCTGGATGCGACTGCGCGGCGAGCAGCATCCGGATTTCAAAATGTGTGAAAAGTGCTACGAGAAACATGTGGCTCTGACGACACTGGATAAGAACTTTGAATCTATTCCACATGTGCCGAGTCACACAGGATTAGACTGGATGGACGCCGCACTAGGCTATACAACGACGGAGCCTACGCCCATCGCATGCAGCATGAACAGCTTGCCCGTTGAGGTCGCGCTCACAGACGCCAAGGACTTTCAGGACATCAACGTTCTCTACCGTGCTCTGGAGGTCATCCTCTCCTGCCCACCGTGTACCGAACGGGGCATCATCAACGGCACGTGGTACACGTTGACCGGCGGCGGCTGCGACGACTATAGGATCTGTGCCCCATGCCACGCAGCCTTCATCACCCCATTCGGACTGGACCGATTCTACGAGAAATCTCAGAGCGAGGAAGCAGGAGAGACCTACTTCTGCAGCTTCGAGCGATCCTCGGCCCCGCGATGGGTCGACCACATGAACCGCAACGCCGAAGCCGTCGAGACCGGCGTCTGGTCCCGCTACTCCGACTTCGTGCGCAAATTCGCCGGCGTCCCGCACTGCGCCAAGGAGAACCTCGTCGACAACCGCCGCTGGTATGGGTGGGACGACTGCACAATCTGCCCAGAGTGCTACATCACCTTCTGCCAGGAGAGCTCGCCACCTCCCCCTAGTCTGACAATGGAATTCAACAACGACCTTGTCGTCGAGAAGAGGATGTGCTGCCTGTACTCCCCGCGCATGCGGCAAAAGTGGATCGAGGCGTGCGAGGCGGGCAACGCGGAGGCGCTGATCGAGTTTTCGAGGGTGCGGCACGGGGTTTGGGTGCAGACTGTGCTGCAGGTCCAGGCGCTTCGCCAGATGCAGGATATGCAGATGATGAATGCTATGCATGCGGGCTTCATGAGTGTTACGTACCAAGGTATTGAGGGGATACAGGTGGTGTCTGGCACGACAGATGGGTACGAGCATGGGAATAGTCAACTTGGATGGCATGCGACGGAGGCGGGCGCAACGAGTGCAGCTTTTCGGAATCAGATGCAGGCTGGGATGGCTCAGTCTAATAGTTCGAATACGTGGATGACGATATGGCAGTTGTTGCTGAAATGGTCAGAGTATGAGTAGCGTGAGCAGGCCACGGCAAGCCGGGTGTGCGGTTTTAGCTAGTTTCTCTATTCGACTTCATTTATGAGCATCCTTACTTTAGTGACAGCCTAGCTATGTTATTCGCCAGTGGTATCCATCACCTCTTACATCCGCGAGACTAACATACAGCTGAGAAATACAGCTACGATAAAGCAAAGTTCTTTCAACCAAATTTAACCACAGTTTCAAGGATAGTAGACTGACCCGACGAGCTGCTAAATCCTACAGGTGTATTGGGACTCGATTGAGTCCTGTCAGATTCGCGTCTATATATCTAATGTGAGACGACAGCTCATGGAATATTTGGATTTTATTGGCATGTATATGCACACCAACAACCCATAAATACCTAGCTCAAAGTCTATGACGGAATTGTTGGCTCAAAAACGTCCTCTAAAACATCAACAACACCACTCATCCAGCTATCCCACGACGCAGGATCCTCCTCATCTTTGTAAAACTTGAGCCATCTCAGCAAAACCCGGTACGACCCCTTCTTCAATCCCAATCCTATCGTAGCCGTAGCATCAAGGATGCTATAAGACCACCCAGCCTGGTAACTCGTCTGCGGCAGCCACCCATCCTGAATCATGTTGGACCCGAGTATATCAACGCCCGCAACCGTGCCATTCTCCTTCATCGACGTCTCCGTGAGGTTATCGAACTTAACGCTAGGATCGAAGCCGTACCACGTCGGCGTGAAGTTCGTGCTCGCGCGCACAATATCGAAGCGGAACTTGCGCACGGGCTGCAGCGAGGTGAAGAGCGCGACCGGGTAGTCCGGGTACTGGAACGAAAAGGCGCGGTAGTTACGAATGTCGGCCTTATCGCCGTTGGCAAAGACCTGCGGGGCCGAGAGGGGATCGCGCGTCGGCGTCAGGGCGTTGGCGCGCTGTTCCGCGGTGATGTTGTTGAGGCCGACGACGGGCGTGCTGCTGTAGTTGTAGGCTGGGCCCATGTACGGGATCGTGAAGTTCTCGTCAGTGGGGGAGGAGGAGATGCCGATGAAGCCGGAGAAGAGCGGGACGAGGCGAACGTCTGGTGAGGATGGGGGCGTGATTGAGAACGTGACGTTGGCGGAGCCGCCGGCTGGGACGGTGACTTGGCTCCCGCTCGCGAAGTCGACCTTGGCTGAGAAGGACGAAGGGATGTAACCGACTTGCGCGGTGCGGCTTGAACCCTCTGAGAATGGCGCTGCACCAGCAGCAGGCACGTTGGAGAAGCTGTAGGTGATTTCGGTTCCCGACGGGTTGTCGATGGTAAAAGTAGCCTCCTCGACATCAACCAATTTGAACTCCCCTGGAGATACCACTGTTCTCGGAAACACGGCTTTGTGAGCCTGAACCAGACCCGCGCCTTGTTGAATTGCAGGCGCCATCAAATCATAGTCTGCCATGTTGACTTGCTTTGCAGTGGTTTGTATCAGCTCAAAGATCTCTTCGACAGACAAGTCGGGATTCTGTGACTTGATCAGAGCATATACACCAGAGATGTAAGGCGTCGCCATGGACGTGCCGCTGATGATGCCGAAACCGCCGCTATTCTCCATGAGAGGGAACGTGGCTAGGACCGCTCCCCCTGGGGCGGCTATCTGGGGCTTGAACGCGAAGTCGGCGTTGGGTCCTAGGTGACTGTCAGTCAATACATCAAGAAGAGCTGACTGCGATAATAGCAAGACATACCGAGGCTGCTGAAGTTGTTTGGAGATCCGCCACCGATTTGATCCACCAGAAGAGGCGTCTGGGACTCAACAAGCAACTTGTACTGTCCGGTGCTCTTGGCCGCATTCGAGAGCGTCTCGTCGATAACGCTGCCCATGGAGTAGACGTACCCGTCTGCAGTAAGAGACGGTGTTGGCACAGCGTGGCCTTCAATGAAGACATCATCGATGGTAGGATCCGGGTACGTAATGACACGAGTGAAGTTTGCCGCAGAGGCATATGTCTGGACCTGCGTCGGCGAACAAGAAGGCCCTCTCTTGACGGCGACAATGTAGTCGGAGATTGGCCCCTGAAGACTACTGGCTGGCGGGTAATCGGAAGCCGAGCAGCCAAACTTGTACCCTGACGTGTTTCTCCCGGCCCAAGCAACAGAATACTCCCCTTCCGGGAATGGATACAATGCTCCGTAGCGGAATTCGGCACCGTTCGAGTCACGGATCGGGTACGTTGGAAACTTTGCATTCTCCACAGACGCAACGCCGAGCCCGTCATCAGCTCCGCCCGGCAAGTTGATGGAAAACATGCCTTGCGTACCAGAGTTGCCGGCAGCAGCCACAACAGCAACGCCTTTTGCTCTCAGTGCGGCAACGGCAGCAGGGAGAATCGACCTGGGATAACCCGACCAGGTTCCAAACTCTCCAATCGAGATACTCACAACATGAGCACCCTCCTCAACGGCCCTCTGCATAGCCGCAACAATAGCATCGTCCGACGCGCTCCCATCGCACCCAAAGACGCGGTACATGCCCAGCGTCGCCCTGGGAGCAACGCCAACGAGACCGGGAAACATGGAGGCGTTCGAGGAAACCTCCATACCGATGATGCCCGCCACATGAGTGCCGTGGAAACTGTCAAAGCAGCCCGGTCTCGGGTCCGGGCCCGGGTTCGGAGTGGAGTTGCTGAACCCGTAGTCGTCACCGACAAAGTCGTAGCCAAACTCGACCTTGCAGCCTTTCCCGAAGCATCCTCCCAGCGCGGGGTGCAGGTAATCGATTCCCGTGTCGATGACGGCGACGCGTACGCCCTCGCCGAGCACGCCCTTTGCGTGAACGCGGTCGACACCCGTCATGGCGTGAGGGCTATTCCAGTCGACGTCCGCCCTCCGAGAGAGCAAAGATTTGGATTGCTCTCTGCTGCTTTCAAAGTTGCGGGCGGCGTATTTTTCGTGGCCTTTGCCGCTGGAAGGGGACCTCTTCACATTATTGCTTGGGCGATGAGGGTGCGCCACGCTCTGGACTGGAACAACATTCTGAACACCCGGGAGAGCTCGCAACTTTTCGCTATCCAAGTCGTTATCCAGAGAGACCGATACTCCGTAAAAGACACTCTTGTCGGTGTACTCATATCGCACTCGTAGTGGAATAGACGCTTCGGCTGCCTTGCTGACGAGATCACGCGGACTGATGCTGAGCGCTTCGGCCGCGGAATCTGTGGACAACTCGACAAAGTACGTCTTCGGCACTGCTTGGGAGGTAGCTACAGCAAGACAGCAAGCCGCTGCCGCGGCGAAGTGGGCGATGAGACGCATCGTCAACTAGACGATCGGGCGGCTTCTCTCCGGACAGACAAGTCTTGGAAAGACTCTAAAGCCGAACGTGCCCCAGACCGTATTCATTGTGCGACTATGCTGTGATTTTAAGAGTTCAAAGTCCGATTGCCATGGGTGGTCGTCAATACGACACCGAGATAACCGGTTGTGGGTCGTGACGGAAAGGGCGGGGCTTTCTCGTATTTGGCAGATCTTAATTCCCTGGCCCAATCGACTGCTATTTCTAGGCCGGGGATAGAATAGGAGAGCCCGCTTGTGGACCAAGGCGAACTTGCGGGAGCCAAAGCCCGTGAGGTTGTAGTCAAAGTTCTAGCATAATATAGTCCTGGTTTAGAGAAATAGATGGAGAGAATATCATGCCGTCAATTACGCATATATTATAAGCTAGACGAGGACGAGAAACTTTTTTTCCCTGGCTCAAGTAAGTCGACTTATGGACAGGTAAGTTTTATCAAGGTTGTGATGAAGGTGATGCAAGATGTGATGGTCTCAAAATCGTCACCGGTCCACGGAGTCGTTGTAAAGCAGATTTATTTGTCTGGATGTATCTTCAAAGTTTTGTCTCACCAGTCCATTCCCCAACCGACCTCTCTCAAGATCTCTTTGGAGACCATAGTCAGGACATGAGTTCATCACCAAAAACTTAGCGTCATTTCTCTTCATTCTCCACCATCTACCTCCACGCTCACACGTAGTGGCGTGATCTATTTCTTCTTCTGGCCAGCAACGACAGTGATCTCCTTGGGGAGCTCGGCCACGTAGGGTAGGAACTCGGGCTGACCGGGGATGTACTTGCGCAACACTTCGGGGACCTTGAAGCCATCGGGCGTCTGGTAGTTCTCCATGATGCAGCAGAGGGTTCTCTCGGTAGCGCAGAGGGTCTTTATTGTGGTCAGTATGAGCGACACATACGCAACACCAAAAGTGGCATCAGAGGAGATAACTTACAGCGTTGAGAGCGTGGACGTACTCCTTGCGGCCACCACCGGGCGCCTTTGTGGGGCAAAGTGTCAGCAAATTTCCGGTTTAGGAGAACTACCATAGCTTCTTTGATGGGACTCACCTCCTTGGCCTTCTTGACACCGTAACGGACCTCGAGCTCGCGGGTCTGGTAATCCGTGCCTGTCATCCATGTTAGCATTGCTGAACCATAGTGTGCGTAGGAATTTGAGCTTACAGTTGGAGCAAGACACAAGCTCCTTGTACTCCTGCTGGAAGGGGAACCAAGCCTCCAAATCGTACTTCTTAGCGGCGGCGTTGTTCCTGAATATGTCAGTATTCCTCCATAGTTGGCAATATTTAAAGGGTTGCTTACAGAGCACCAGAGACGATGGAAACAACCCTGTAATTGTAAGTCAGCTTTCAAGCCCCAAAACTCTGGTCTGATGTAGCCTACCGGTAGGGAAGACCCAGGCTCTTGTAGAACTCCTCAGAAGCGGCAATCATCTCGTCAAAGTGCTTCCAGCTGTCTTCGGGCTTGCAGAAGATGAACTGCTCAATCTTCTCGAACTGGTGCACACGGAACAGGCCCCAGGCCTCCTTGCCGCTATACAAATATATCATGTTAGTCAAAATCTACAGAGGGGAGTAAGATCGTCATCTGGCGGGGTTCCGAACGTACTGCTTGCCGGCCTCCTTGCGGAAACATGTGCTGTAACCGGCGTACTTGATGGGCAGCTGACCGCCCTGGATCCACTCCTCGCTGTGAAGTGCGGAGAGGGGCTGCTCACTGGTAGCAATGAGGTACTTCTCTTCACCATCACCCGTAACCTTGTACCTGGAGAATCTGTCAGAACACTAAATAGTGAATTTCGGATTGGAGGGTCCGCCCTACAGCTCCTCGTCGAAATCCTCAAGCTGGGCGGTCTTGGCCATCTGGTTGCGGTTCATAAAGAAGGGAGGCTGGTTAGGAGTGTATCCCTTGTTGAAGAGGAACTCAAGACCGTAGTTGATGAGCGCCTGGTTCCTGTTCGCGGGGGTCAGCTTCCCTATCGCTACCGCAAGCCTCACCCTTTCTTCTCCTCTGGCCAAGAACGTACAGGAACAGTCCGTAGCCGGTCAAGCAGTATCCTCTGTGACCGACAAGCTTGATAGCGCGCTCAGGGTCGTAGCCTGCGAGTCTGGTAACAATCTGGTGGTGGCTAAGCGTCTGCTCAGTCTTGGCACCGAGTCCGGCCTCGGGCTTCCATTCGCGCTCCGTGACGTTGTTGTCTTCGTTGTCGCTGATTGGAACGGACTCATGAACGTAGTTTCCGATGCTCTTGGCCTTGGCGTTGAGCGTGACGAGCTTCGCTGTCGCCTCGTCCTCCTTGTCCTTCTTCTGCTTCTGGAGATCCTCCTTCTTCTTGAGCAGGTCGTCGGCGTTCTCCTTGTTCTTCTTCTTCATACCAATCTCCTTCTGCACAGCGTTGATCTCGCTTCCGATCTGCGTCGCAGAGTATTGGGTCTTGCGGTGGTCTATTCGGCTCCAGAGAGGTTCGTGTTAGCCCACATTTGTCCTTCCTACGATGTGCGCGCAGCTATGGGCATAAGGCCTGGTTGGATTGGGAATTCGTACCATCCCACAGAGCGATAACCTCGTCGACAATCTCGACGGGTGCATGGCGACGGCGCTGGGAGTCGCGGATCTTCTCAGGGTCACCACCGCGCTCCTTGATGAAATCTTGGAGGTCGAGCATGATTGTAGCTTTTGGTGGGGTAGAAGGGAGGTTGGCGGGGCGGACTATAGTAAAGTGTACTCGTTAAAAAGGCAATCCACACACGCGTTCCGAGAAGAGTACGGCTTACACGTTCCTTGGGACTGCGGATGGTTTGCAGCTGCGTCGGCGTGACTCTCTCGAGGTGACTCAGGAGCGACTTTGGAGGGTGGTAAATTGTCGTTGCCGGATGGTGGTGGGGTTCTTTGGCGGGGGCGGGGCTGAGGCGGTCAAACGCAAGGGGTCTTTCGCGCCTGCCTTTACCGATACCTCGACCTACCTACGCGCTCATGCGACACATTCAATCACTCAATGTACAGCCACCAGGGGAAGACAAGATGCGTCAAATGCAACCCAATTTTAATGCAATTGTGACCCAGTCATATTGCATACCGTGGTGAAGCGCAAGATGTTCTCCTTTGCCTTCCAGAGCGCTAGCTATTGTACAGTTCTGCCGTGAATACCTTGAAGAAACGAACCCCCAGACCCTTTTATTCCCCGCCCTCGAGATCATTTTCGCCAATGTCCAATGTTACATGATCGCTAGGTATTCAGGCCTGAGTGGCCTCCTCGACCTTGGTCTTTTTCGATGAGTCATCTTCCTCCGCAGGCTCTTCGGCCTTGCGCTTCGTGCCATTGGATTCTGCACCGTTTGCCTGGGTTTCTTCGGGCTTGGGCTCCTCCTTGGCCTTCTTGCGTACAAGGCCAGTAAGATCGGTAGCAGTCTTCTTGGCTTCCTCGACGCGAGCTTGTGTTTGAGCCGCAGATTCACCAATAGCCGCTCCAAGAATTCCGCCCAAGCCTTCACCACCGAGAGCAGCATTGACGTCAATTGGTGGCTTACGAAGTTCCACGAGCTGTGCATGGTTAGTAAAAGTACCGTCGAGGACAAAGTATGGTTACTCACGCGCTGCTCCATATCCGCAATCATGTCCTTGACGTCGGTAATCGTAGCTCGGGTGACCTCATTGTCTTCCGGAGATGCCATGGTCGCGAGTTCAACTTCCTTGTTCTGGAGCTTGAGCTTGGTGCTGTTGATGGCTGCTTCCAGCTCATTTGCGGCCTCCTCGCGAAGCTTCTCGTCGAAAGGCTTGCTCTCTCCTTGCTCACCCTCCTCATGAGTGGTTGTTACGGATGAGAACTCAAGCGCCAACGAAAGCTTGAAGTGCGCCTCGGCAATAACTTCCGAATCCTCGCTGTACAGCTCCTTCTTGTACTTCAAAGACTTGCGCGAGTCCTCAATGGCGTCAGGGTATCTAATTTCTGTTAATGCCGGAAGCCTTAGTACAGGGTACCTCGGCAGGTGCTTACCTCTCATTCTCTAGGGAAATCTCGGCAAGAAGATCATGGGTATCCGCAAGGCGCTCCTTGACATGCTTGATGCTGAGCTTCTCGCCATCGACTTGCTCTTGTGCTTTGCCATTAGGCTCCACCTTCTCCAACTCTTCCAGCTGTCTGCTGTAGAGAATGCGAGCCATGTCGAGCACGCCGAACGCAACAGCGAGATCGTCATCTTCCTCCTCTTCTTCTTCGTCACCCTCGGCCTAATAACAGGTTAGCTCCAATTGACAGTCGTCGACGAATCTGGATCGCAAGTCTTCGATCAACTCATTGATGAAAGAGCGAGACTTGTTCAGCCCGAGACCAAAGGAGCGGAATCTAGCTTACCTCCTCCTCATCTGAGTCGTCCTCAAAGTTTTCATCGCCAGTGAACTGGAACAAGGGCTTCTTCTCCTCGACAGTCTCCTCGGGCTTCGCTCCGCTCGTCTCACTTGCAACAATTGCAACACCCTCCTCAGTTATTCTCTGCGCCTCGGTTTCGGCTGGCGCCTTGGTCGACATGGGCTCGGCAGTGGTCTTCTTCGGGACCTTGGACTTGGGTTTGGCCGCCTTCTTCTCACCAGCGGCCTTACCCCCGAGGACGTCGCTCTTGCTCTGCCCAACCTTGAACACACTGCGACCGTAGAGGAAGAGAATCTCAGCATTCGCAGGTTGCATTTCGCCATTGATCTCATCTTGCAGCTCCGCAGCCTTCGTAAAGCAGTCGGTAGCTTCCTCGTACTGCTTCTTTGCGTACAGAGCGGTTCCCTTGGCAGTCAGGTCGGCGAGGGTGACCTTCTTGGAGTTGACGTCCTCCTCAGACTCTTCACCGATCGTGGCTGGCGTGTCCTGTTGTGTCGGCGCGGGCGCATCCTGCTTGATCTCTGGATTTGCGACAGCCTCCACAGCTGGGGCCTCGGCGACGGGGGCCACTGCGACAGGGGCCTCTGCGATAGGGACCTCTGCGGCGATCGTAGGCTGTTCGGGTGCGTCGGCCATTGTGGGAATGGGGTTGATGTTGCTGATTGATGATTGGAAGGATGAAATAGCAGAAAGGTTTGTGGACGATGGGAAACAGGATGAACGAGGTAAGAAAGGCAATTGCGAAAAGAGAATTGGCAGCCTTTGTCAGTCTGTGGTGTGACGCGCGAGCTCTGGGGAAGGCGCGTTGATTGGGGAACGAAGCTGCAGGGATAGCTTCCGTTCAGCACGTAAAACGAGTTAAACCCAATCAAAATGGCGGGTGCGTGCTAGGCTTCTTCACTGTGCTTTGCACTGTAGGTTGCATTAATCCCATGGATCAATTCCGGGATAGGCCAGCAGGGTGTCGCTGCCAATGCCTTGATTACATGTTTGCCTTGGCAATCGCCGTACGCCTAAATGGCATTCCCCTTTCCTTTCTCCTCTCAACAATGCCCAGTCTCTGACTTGAACCGCAAACATCTGGTTGGAGAAGGAACTACAGCTGCATGTTTGCTGAAGGCGTGCGACTTGGCTGTCCTCTCAAGTGAGCTGACGAGCCTTTGAAGAGGCTCTGCCAGATGAAAGCCTCGCTCAGTAACAGCTCAATGTCCTTCTCCGTCCAAGATTTTGTTGGTAAGCTTTGCAAAAACATCATTATTTCCTGAAAATCCATCTTGACAAGCTTGTCTGACCACTTGACCAGGAAAGCCGCGCACACGTATAAATGAAACTCCGAAAAGCCTTGTTCTTCGGCCTGTAGGTGGTTAGATGGTGCCAGTAATCAGACGTTGATGGAATATTCTCACCAAGTACGTGTCCCACATCCTGATCGTATTCCTTACACTTATCTCTCTCATTAAGAGACAGTTCATCCATCGGAAGCTGAATTGAATGAACTCGACGTGCTCCTTTTCGAGGTGCTTCGCCAGCCCTGCATCAATCCTTGCGGTGAGATCGCGGAGGGCCGCAACCTGCCTCTGAATGCCTGGCTGGGCCACAATGTAGTGGTCTTGTATACCGTCTAGCAGCTTTGTCAAGCACCAGAATGAATCTGCTTCTACAGCGTCAAGAACCGATTTCGGCAGCTGACCAGGGTCCATGCCCGATTCAATATCGGAGTCTGCGACGTATGTGCTCAAGAAAACCTGCCAAAACGGCGTTACCAAGTCATTGATGCCCTGAACGTAGCCGCTGGCAGGGTGTCGCACTGCCCATAAGTACAGGATTCGTTCCAGAGATCTCTGCGTCGCTTCGTACGAGTAAAGTTCGATGTGAGGGTTCGTTCTTGGAACGTCGATACTGATCTGATGCCAAATTGCCTCGTCTAAACCTCTGGCTTTTCCGGGTGCCGCCGGGGTGGTGCCACCTCCCCCACTGCTGCTGCCGCGTTCGAAAGCCTGCCTAACGCCATCGAGATACTCTTTGCGTTTCCTTTCTAGAGTTGCGACTCTCCTCTCGCTGTTGGTCGGTAGGTAGCTCAACAGGAGTTGCCATGTCATAGCACGAACCTCCTGGGGCACGCCGGACCATGCTAGTTGCCGAAGTTCCTGTAGCGGTATTGTTGAGGCCTGTAAGAGCTTCTTGAACTTGTTGATACGAGTAATTCGTGAATTCGCAGCATCAATCTCTTTTGGTGTTGCATCGTCGGGTATGACTGGGTGATCGATTAGGTGCAGCGCGTTCGCCGGGTCTGTCGCAGTCAGCACGGTCCATTCTAACATCACGCGACACCACTTACCCCTCAAAATTTCTTTATACTGTGGACGCAAGATTTTGCCCTCGCTCTTCTTCGGCATTGGATAGGTTGGCGCAGGTCTTTCGATCGCAATGTCCGCACTATTCGAGTATCTCCTCGTGTGTAACCCTAAACCGAACGAATCGTTCAAGGGCGACAGACCTCCGTTGGGATCCGACCTGTTTTGCGCGGCTTTCTTGCGTGTTCGTCGCTTCATGTTAGACAGGCTCGGCAGGCCGAAGTCGTCACCATCATCGTCCTCGTACCCCATCATGTCCTCCTCATCCTCGTCGGCTTTCCAGTCATCGTTGGTATTGGAAAGGAAATTGATATAACTTTTGATCGGAGGGGACGACAGACCCGACTGTGGGCGCGAGGGGGGAGAGGCATCGCTAGGCCGGCCTTTGGTAGAGTGTGAGGAAGGAGGCGTCTTCGGTCTGGAGGAGGAGCTGGACAAGTTGCTGGCTCAAGTTAGCTGAGGGTGTCGGCGCGACTCCAAGATGGGAAGAGTCCGCACAGTGAATCGAATTTGAGAATATCGGCATGAGAGTAGGCTGCTCCGACAACCAGGTTCGGGTCGCGACCGGTTCTTTTCGATGCGTTCTCGCGTGGGGGCGGCTTCCAAAATGGCGATGCAGAACTACCCCAAGTCAGTTCCAAACTGCGTCGGCGATGCAGCCAAGGCAACGTACTCTGAGCGGTCTGCGCCGTCAACGAAATATCAAAGTTAGCCAGAAATTTCCGAGTTTAGTCTCAAGAGCCGAGGCTATGCAGCAACGGGCAGCTCGAGTTCAAGAGGTATGACGAAACCCACCGACTTGGACCATCTCCTGCTGCGGGGCAATTAGCATGCGATGACAGGCCCGGGCAGGGGTTTGGGGGAGCATACCTGTTGCGAGGGCTTCTTCCCACTCCCTGAAGAGGAGAACATGGTGATACTTCTCTATTGAGACCGTGTCATTGTGTGTCTTGGTGTTGAGATGCGCCAGACGAGTCGCCTGAGCTCCGAACAAGTGACCAGTGGCCGGACCCTTGCCTCACATTAGTGTACCGCACGCCGCTTTGAGCAGCAGTTGAAGTGGAGTGGGGGGAGGAGGTCACTGTGGCTGAAGGATGCGGTTTCAACTGCGTCGTTGTGGCGGCCGAGGTGCAAGTCTAAATGGTAGCGCAGATGCTTCTTCCACCCTATATTGATGAGGCGGGAAGGAATCTGGGGAAGTCTAAGCAAACCGCAAGAAACTACTCCCTAAGAAGATGATTCTTGCAAGGGATGTATTCACTTATTGCAAATGGTAGAACGAACATTGCGGTACCTTGCATGAACGGTCTAACTGTACGGATGCGGTTACCAAACTCTCCTCATCTCATTACATGCCGCAGCAAGCCAGTCTTGCTACCTAGTCACGTGACTCTTCCCACTCAGGTACGGGACCCAACACATCGCAGGTCCGTACTCCGTATGGCAGAGCGCGCACGAGCTTTGCCGATGCTTGGACCTTTCTGTCTTTCCCCCAGTTTTTGTAGCTCTGATTGGATTGAGCACGCCCATTGGCTCCGCCACAGTCTTAGCTCCACCTTCCTCCTCTTTCACTCAGGCTCTTGCCTAAGAAATATCCAAACAAGCGCTGTTGCGTACACGGCGACCTTGTCCCATCAACTTCTCCGCAACAACACAACACGTTCTTTACTCTCCATTTTCTTTCGCCTTCGCCTGCATCGACTCGCCGATTCAAGTATCCTCGACACTGACTGAGCACTCGTCAGGATGACCGAGCCCGAGAATTTCGAGGAAGACCTCTTCGCCGATCTGTGAGTAATTACAAGTGTCATCTGTCACCGTGAAAGACATGCTGATACGTGTTACAGCTACGATGATGACACCCCAGCGAAGCCAGCTGCCGCCCAGCAACCCGCGCCGCCTCCTGCCCCAGTCGCCGTTCCTCAACCAAGCGTCGAGACACATGCCGAACCACCTCCCCAGTCTGAGCCGGAATATGGTGGTGGTGGTGATGATCAAATGAAGTACGAAGAGGAGGATGACGATGATGAAGTAGACTTCAACCTAGGTGGCGATGGCGGCGGCGGCGGCGGCGGCGGTGGTGGAAGCACTGGTTATGCGCCGCCCTCGAATGGGTTTGCTGGCAACAAGCAAGAGGAATCCACGTACTCGACAAGCACGGCCAAGAACCCGAGTGCCAAGGAAGACGGGTAAGTTTTGTTTGCCAACTACGTGATTTTTGCACTTGCTACACAAACCATTCCCCATGCACCCATAGTTGGGACGCATACCTCGACTGGATTAATCTGAAGCACTTTTGCTGCGGTTTGAGGGAACTCGGGCATCAGTTGCCCCATGGTTACTCGTATTGGGCCTTCTTGGTCTTGGGAACTTGGATGGACAAGAGAGGGCATCAATACAAGACGTTGGCCAGCCACGTTTTGGGAAACATTCTTCAGGGCCATCAAGCAGGTCAAGGAAAACTTCAGAGAAGACATGAGAAGCTTGAAGAAAAGCAAGAAAGAGAAGCCATAAAGAGGTACCGCGCAAAAAGTCAGCTGGAAAAGCAGCCTGAGATCACCGAGATATGCCGACGATAGTCAGTCATCAGTCAGTCAGATCAGGAGCACCCTCGTGCACCTTCTATAGCCCAGTCGCAGAGAGAACATCCTGCGGTCTTTGGCTGCTGTAGCAAGATTAGCAGCGGATAGCGCTCGAAGCTAGAGCTAGCAGAGACTTGACGATAGCAAAAGACACGAAAAATTCGACAATGACCAGGCTATCCGCTCCGCAATTCTCCCCAGTCGTGAGAGAGTTTTTGTGGCTGGCTAGCGCTGCTCGCCCTCAACAATCATTTTGGCTGCGGCTGGAACCTGAAATCCTCGGCCTTTTCACAAAGGCACCGATGCTGATGGAAACCAACCCATGCACGTCACTTCTATGATGATTCAAGAACAACGGATTGCTGTCTGAATCTGCCGCTGGCCGCGAGGAGGTACCCGTCAAGGAGCATGTTATGACAGACATCGATCAAAATACCAATACACCAACGCCAAGAAATGCGATCTCAGGCTGTTACAAGCCTCTCAGCCTGTATTTACCAGAGGGGGAAAAGGCGAAGGTGGCCAGCCTATCGATGGGCGACAGACGACTCGGCCAACTCATGGTCTCAAGGATGACTGCTCTGTTATAGCCATACGGCGGGAACTCTCATTGGCCATTGGTCCTTGTCTCGATGTCCGGATAATACTTCCATTGCCCAGAACACGATCATAGTCGCATGCATTTCTTTTTCAGAGTTCTGAATCTTGAGTCGATTCATTGACTAATATTTTCATATCTGTAGCAAGATGTTTATTGGTGGCCTTAATTGGGAGACGACTGATCGTAAGTCTGCGTTGTGTCCGCTTCTATAGCGCCATTTTCTAATAGCTGCCAGAATCCCTAAGGGACTACTTCTCTCAATTCGGCGAGGTTGTTGAGTGCACCGTCATGAGAGACAGCAGCACCGGACGATCAAGAGGCTTTGGCTTCCTGACATTCAGGGACGCCAAGACGGTGAACATCGTTATGGTCAAGGAACACTTCTTGGATGGCAAGATCGTGAGATTCTCCTAAGCCGATTGCACTTCGAGCTGAACACTAATGGCAACCAGATTGACCCCAAGCGAGCAATTCCTCGCGACGAGCAAGAAAAGACTAGCAAGATCTTCGTCGGTGGTGTCAGTCAAGATACGACCGATCAAGAGTTCAAGGACTATTTCGCCCAGTTCGGCCGTGTAGTCGACGCGACCCTAATGATGGACAAGGACACCGGCCGCCCTCGCGGTTTCGGCTTCGTCACGTTTGAAAGCGAGGCCGGCGTTGATGCCTGCCTCAGCACCAGTCTGGAGATTCACGGCAAGCCGATTGAGGTCAAGAAGGCTCAGCCGCGTGGCAATCTTCGCGAAGAAGAAGAAGCCGCACGGCGGGGCGGAAAGTTCAGGAAGGGCGAAGACGGTGCCCAGGGTGGACAAGGCGGGATGGGAGGCGGCCAGATGGGTGCTGCAGGGGGCATGACGCCCCAAGTTATGGCACAATACTTCCAGCGCATGCAGCAGTATTTCGCTATGATGCAGCAACAAATGGCTATGAGTAGAGGCATGGGCCCTATGAACCCGGCCATGATGCAGCAGATGATGCAAATGCAGCAGATGCAGCAGATGCAGAACCAAATGATGGGCCGCGGTGGAGGCGGCAACGGTCAGCAAGGCATGATGGGCCAGATGACGCCTCAAATGATGCAGCAGATGCAGCAAATGCAACAGCAGATGCAGCAGCAGATGGGCCAGCAGGGCGGTCCCCCGTCTGGACCCAGCGGCAGCTTCAGCCCTCAGCAGCAAATGTTCGACCCATCTCAGGGAGGCCAGCCGCCACAGCAGCCCGGCGGCGGACAAGGACCGCGTCGGGGAGGCAGCAGCGGCGGCGGAGGTGCTCCCCGCGACCAGTACAACCAGGCTGGCGCATATGCCATGGGCGGCGGTGGCGGTGCTCCGACATCGTGGGAGGGCATGTACGACGACGTTCCCCAACCGAACCAGGGCGGCCGGGGAGGCTTCAGAGGCGGCCATCGTGGTGGCTCTCACAGTGGTGGCTCCCATCAGGGATCACCCGATCCTGCGCATGCCCCGCCTGCCAACGCGCCTACAGGGCCCAAGAACGCGGGCAGACCCGGCGCTAACTACCGCGGTGGTGGACGTAGCAGCAACCGGGGATTCCATCCTTACTCGCGTTAGGAGTCTTTGCGGTAGCCAAAGATGGCCTTTCTGGCATCGGAGACGGAATTATAGGGGGGATCGATCTCAAGGCGCCGTATCTCGTCGGCTAAAAGAGAGCTATACAAGTTTGACGGTTCGATGAAAGAGGGCGCTGGGAAGAAACTGCATATATGGAACGAGGTACCGCGTTTTCTCTGAGACGAAGAGGAACTGGGACCGGAACCGGGGTACGGCTTGGGTTCGGCAGCTTTGCTTATTGCTCTTGCGAACTTTTACTTTCTTCTTTCCTTTACAGATCGTTTTTCCTGGGAAGTTTGTATTATACTCCAAAAAGGGAGGGGGAAAATCAACCATTAATCGGCCGTCTTCATGTGTTCTTTTCATTCACGTGAACTTTGTGGGAGTATCAACTTCATGTCATGACATGAAAATAGATTGCTAGGGGTTGCACGTTCCGTGAAGCATCGCGAGAAGCATAGCAAACGGGCAATATGTCATTCTTTAAGAGTCTGGGTAAGGAAAGTCTTGCCCCGGCTTGACCTTCCGAACCGGGCCCGAAGCCGAAGTTGAACATGCCCACCTTTCGGGCGGCGAGCCGAGAGCTTTAAATTGAGTAAACATAGGTGAAGTGAACATGATAAGATGAGGATGATAAGATGAGGATGATAAGATGAGGATGATAAGATTATAATCCCAGCCCCATGCTCAATTCAGCTCAGGCTCCTATGTTAAGTGCATTACTTCAAACCTTTTTAATGGAAGTTGTTTTTTGTGTCTGTTCTTCAATAACTTTGCTGCTACCCCACATTCGATCTGCGATATATCCACTTGATGACGGGACTGAAGAAGTCCCGGACCTTGCCCAAAGGCCGGCGGGCGTCTACAAGACTGAATAGGCTGACGGTATTCAAAGTAGCTGCCCGCGGAAAGCGCATTTTGGGAGAGTTAACCAAAGACCGAAGATATGTCAGCGTGCAATTCAACATCTGCAGCGTTGTGAGATGTCCAGTTCCCCAGAACGCCGGACAACGACCGAGACTTCTCCATATCAAGTCTGATACCCCTCGCTGCTGTCGCACGGTTTCCGACTCGGTCATTCCGGGGGATAATCTACTTAATTGCCAAAACCCCACGTAAGATGGCAATGGATGGGCTAAGATAGGAAACCAAGAACCGAACAGGGCGCGCGCAGGAGTGAGAGAGGAAAAAATCGAAACATGACAAGTCTTAACCCCCCATCTGTCTAACTAAGCAACGCATGTGATTTCTAATCAACCCCCTCTGTTCCTCTACCCCTCCATCGTCCATCGTCGGCGTAACCGCGCAAGAAAAAAGTCTCACAACGCTAGAAAATGGGAAAAAAAACTGACAAACCACCCCCACCAAAGCCGCAAAACAACTGGACATTGCTCGCGCCCTTCCGCGGCGCATTTACCATACCTTAATTTCTCGGGTGCCCAAAATTCCAGACCATGAACCTTTTTTTCTTGACTTTTCCCACCCTCCACCACCCAATCCCATTCTCCTCTTTTCCAATTTTCGTTGACGTGATTTGAAGGCACCTGCCTGTGATTGGACAAATAACCGCAAGCTACGGGAATCTTTGACAACCTACCTAGACGACCCCCCGCCGCCTATCGGGCTGAGCCGCAGTCAAACGCTGCGCCTACGGACCAAAAATCGACCACCACCTTTACCAATTGGACTACAGACGGACGACAAGGGCTTCTCCCATTCGGCTTGCCGAGACCAATTGCGCAATCGCAAGGAAGAGAAAACAAACCATTGAAGAAAAGACGTTCCCACCCTTTTGCGAAAGCGCCGTCGTCCCGCTTCGAACAGTTCCGCCTTGTTTTCCCGCTCGGGACCCTTGCATCGTGAGCCTGCAGGCAAAGGGGAAGAAAGAAAAAACGACAATCAGCCTGGTCTGACGTCTTATCAGAAAACCAACCCCTCCATACCGGGCAACGTCTTTGTGTCTCACCACTCGTAGAGCTGTAGAGAGTTGGTCTACAGTAGATGCTCTCCGACTTGATTATACCAAGCACTCTAATATCCAACCCTTCTTATCGCAACTTATCATTCCAGATATTTGCGGCTGGCGCGCGGAATTTCCTACCTTAGTTTTCTCGGGCCGTTTTGTTCTCATAACTCCGTCATCGTCCAAAACGCCGATCACCGGCCAAACCCGGCCGTAGCCGCACCTCCTCTCAAAACAAACCACCAAGAAAAAGCCGTAGCCACACATCACCAGAAATCATGGGTCTCCTGCAAGTTTTTACCTCACACGCTCCCGCTATCCAAATACAGATATTCCAATGATGCAGTCTCTTCTAATACTTTTCAACGTAGAGCACTGGGAACCCCTCTCGACTGGCCAGAGGCCAAGAAGAGTGCGGATCAGGTCCGCGAGTGGGGTATCAAGGTTCGAGCGCCGCTCTCTGTCTCTCTGTCTCTCACTATGAAACGAATTCGCACGAGGCTATCGTCGGTCTTTGGGGTCATGAAAGTGTTGCTGACCCGAGTTTCTTTTGGATGGTTTAGCAACTCCTAGAGATATGGAACAAGGCTAAGAGCAAAGAACGCGATGCTATGCTCTGGGGAGATGAGGTATGTGAACCCTGTTGTGAGAGATGATGCTCTGCTGCCTCATGGATGAGTGCCAGCGTCTCATGCTCTTACGGCACCCCTCAGCGACTGCAAGAGATGAGGGCCCGAGAGCTGACAATGTTCACGAAAGGTCGAGTACTTGGTCGTGACCTACTCAAAGGACGAGCCCAAGGTCCGCCTGTCTCTTAGACAAGCCGAGATTCTCACAGCACTCGCCGAGAGCCCGGATCTCGCAAAGGAGGGAGGCTGCGTACCAGAGCTCCAGGAAGTCGCCAGGGAACAGTCGTATGTTCACCCTCTATTCCTCTCTCTCTCTCTCGTCTCATCCGGCGACGTCCGCCACATGAGCCGATCCATGGCGCAATTTATCGAGAGCAGAAGAAGAGCCTTGCCTCGGTTATGCTAACACCCAAACCACAGATCAGTAACCCTCCCCGTCTTCCACCCGGAATTCGGCCGCTTCATGCTCGAAGCCACCCCCGGCAAACCCTGGGGCATCGGCTTCAAGGAACTCCTCGACGTCGAACCCGACATGAAGCTCCGCCGCAAGATCGCAAAGGACCACATGCACAGCAACGAGTACCCCATCACCCTCACCACCTTCCCCCGCATCGGCTGCCCGGGCGACTTCACGGAACCCTACTACCCTCCCTCGGGCCCCAAACTCCGCTCCCAGTTCGTGCCCGACGAGATCGCCAACCCGCACATCCGCTTCCCCACCCTCGCCGCCAACATCCGCTGGCGCCGCGGCCGCAAAGTCCAGGTCAACGTGCCCGTCTTCCACGACACCAACACGCCCAACCCCTGGAAGGATCCCACCGTCAACCGCGACCTGCACAACTGGCCCGAGGACGACGACGTCCGCGACGGCGGCGCCGCCCCGGACAACTTTATCCACATGGACGCCATGGCGTTCGGCATGGGCAGCTGCTGTCTGCAGATTACCTTCCAGGCCAAAAACATCACCGAGGGCCGCAAGATGTACGACCAGCTCAGCCCGCTGGGGCCCATCATGCTCGCCCTGACGGCGGCCACGCCCGTGTATAAGGGATTCTTGGCCAATACCGACGTGAGGTGGAATCAGATCAGCCGGGCCGTGGACTGCAGAACCCCTGAGGAACTCGGAGAAAAGGTGAGATATTACAGAAGAGCACAGGCTGGACTATTCAACCACTCCCTCACTCACTCACAAATACCCTTACTCCTGTACCTCTCTCCTCATCTTACACCATGAGTATCTGCACATATATGAAGATATACATATAAACAACCTCAAGGAAAGACATGCTAACACAACAACACAGCCCCTTAAAAACGACCGCTGGCGCATCCCCAAGTCCCGCTACGCCTCAAACTCAACCTACATCTCCACAGACCCGCGCCTCCGCCAGGAATACCTCGACCCGAACCTCGTCATCGACGAGTCCATCAAATCTAAACTCATGGACGGCGGCATGGACGACCGCCTCGCCACCCACTTCGCCCACCTCTTCATCCGCGACCCCATCGTCGTCTTCGAAGAAGACCTCCAGGAGCTCGACCTCTCCAAGACGGACCACTTCGAGAACCTCCAGTCCACAAACTGGCAGCACATGCGCTTCAAGCCCCCGCCCGCCGACAACTCCATCGGCTGGCGCGTCGAGTTCCGCCCCATGGAGATCCAGCTCACCGACTTCGAGAACGCCGCGTTTTCCGTCTTCATGGTCCTCGTCACCCGCGCCATCCTCTCGTTCGACCTCAACTTTTACATCCCCATCACCAAAGTCGACGAGAACATGGAGCGCGCGCACGCCGTCGACGCAGTCCTCGAGGAGAAATTCTTCTTCCGCAGGAACCCCTTCCCCAGCCGCCAGGTCCGCGTCAACAACTTCACCCAAGGCGGCGGCGGCGATAACGACGCTAGCCGTCCCAACTCCCGCCCCGGCTCCGCAGTCCCCAGCCGTCCCCCCACCCCCGTCGGCCCCGTCGAAGACGAATACGCCGAAATGACAGTCAACGACATCATCAACGGCAGCAACTCAGACTCCTCGGACGGCTTCCCGGGCCTGATCCCCCTCGTAGAATCCTACCTCGACAGCGTAAACGTCGACGTCCAAACCCGCTGCGAACTCGACACCTACCTCCGCCTCATCAGCCAGCGCGCCTCGGGCCAGCTCGACACCGCCGCCCGCTGGCTCCGCAACCTCGTCGACGTCCACCCGGGCTACAAGCACGACAGCGCTGTGGGCGAGGACGTGCAAAAGGATATTATTGCCGCCGTCGTCGCCATCGGCGAGCGCGAGACGGCCGGAGCCGGGTTCGCGGGGCTGGATATCCATGGCCTGCCGAAGCTGCTCGGGAACTTCCGCCGGGGCTGCGGCGGCGCCAGCGGTGATCAGCAGCAGCAGCCGGAGGTCTCCGCGAGGAAGAGGAAGGCTTCCGAACAGGCTTAGATGCGGTACCCACGTACGTAGGTCAGTAAGGTGCGTAGGTTGGTTAAATCACTAGTACTACGGAGACATGGGAACACTATCACGACCGAGGCATTGGGTCCAAAAAAGCAAAGAATAGGAAGGCAACATCCCGAAGGCCAGGGGGTGCAGGAAGTGAATAGGAGGGAGCAGATTAGGGTCTCGACGCCATCAGCCACATGAAAGCTCGCATTCGGCGGCGCCCTGGATAGGATCTCCGTGCACGTAATGAACTCATAGACTCAAAAAGCATATATCAAGACAACAATGGCAAGTTCAGTCATGACGTATCCTGTTTGTGAAGGGGATAGAGGGAGCGTGAGAGACGTCGGCCGTAGGCGTGAACCATAGGACCAACACCAGTGCCCGCGTGGGAGTTAATGATTAAGCCAAATGCGTAGTTGGTCGCGAACATGTCTCATTTTGATCCTGCGTCGTCGATCCAAGATCCAAGACCAAGTGAAATCTGAGGTAGTCCACGATCTTGGATCGAGTGACAGACCACAGGTCCCAGCCCAACGTAAGCGCATCATCAGGCTGCACAACTTCCCTAGCCCGACTGAAGGCGTCGAATTCATGGCTCCCGTGGGAGTGGGAACCCGGCGCACTTCCCTTCCCGCCTTTCTCCAGCGGAAGTTTTGTTTGTCTCCCTCCTGCAGAGGGCTAGACTAGTAGGAAGCCAGGGATTCCCATAGTGACTTAGAACCCGTGGCGGTATCCTTCTCGATCTACTGGAAAACGAGATGCCTGCGTGAACGTCTCCTTACACTCCCGAGGCGTCTCGAAACTGAGACAGTTATCGGGCTTCCACATGACGAGTTCACTTTTCCTGTAGCTTCTTGACTCGAGGCTGCGCGGCAATTCCACCGCCCTTGGCTTCCAAGCCGCATGGCAATGTTCCGGAAAGCTGGAACCGGCCGTAAGTTCATGATGGAGAAATTGGAATGGCGCATGCTGATGGAATTTCCCGTTTCCAGTTTCCAGTTTCCAGGGAAGGGAAGACCCGGGAAGCCGGTAATCTGGGAACTAAAGGGGAGTGGGTGTGTGGAGAGAGGCGTGCAGTGTACTGGCTTTGCTTGCTTGCCCTGTTAGCAAGCCAAACGCCAAACTCGAAAATGAAATCGACACGGGGTGGTTGGTGTGATGTTTCCTCGAAAAGGCGCGAGCCACAGCGCTCTCCATCAGTTGGGCCGGATGAGCTTGCTGAACCGCCAGGCCATGTCTTGGATCTCGACCATGGCGCACGCCAAACAAGTGCGATCCTGTGGCGAGAATAGTTGCATCGGCAATTCGATTGGGGAAGGGTTTGCCATGACATGCAACGAGGTTAGTTGAATGACAGGACGCTATGGCGTTGACGGTTTGGAGCCGGCTCGTTCGAAAGCGGACGATCCCCTCTGGTTGCCCGCCCATTGTGCCGGCAAATTTGAGGTGATCTCAAGATGGCATTCCTCCGTGGATGACCAGCTAGGTTGCCACTGGGGACGCAGGCAGGCTTCTGTCTGTGTTTATTTTGATATGCTGTGGGCTGCCCGTTTCTCCAGATCGAGCCATATCAGCCCCGTGTTGCAAGACAATAGGTCAACGTACCGGCAGCGAGGTGTGCTGGCACGGTGCATCTTTCCACAGCACAGCGTCAAGAAGCTGAAGATAATACAAGGGGGGTGAGGGGGGTTCGGGCATTCTCATCAAACCAAAGTCAAGCCGCGATCTGTCACTTGGAGCCTTTGAGGAGAGGTCGTGTGCAACTGTGCTTCTCAGCTTGGCGGTTTGAGCTCTGCCGCGTGATGTGGCAGGACTAGCGGACCGCATCCTCTGGGTTTAGGACCGAAGAACGAAGCCCACACCACAGATAATCTGGAAGGATTCCACTGCTGTCCTCGATCTCTTACTACATTCAAGAGTCTCCGAGCGAATGAGACGCTGGCTGAACGGTCATGCATGGAAGTACAGTCCAGAACTTGAGGAGCCAACAATGGCTCATTTCCTTACGTTCCCATACTGATAGCGTCGCCGCCACTGCATTTAATGAGGTAGGGACAGCACGCGGCGCTTTCACGACAGCCTTGCTTTCGGTATAGCCACATCGCTGCGTTCGGAAAGGCCATCACTCTGACATGTCGCGTGGGAGTCGTGTGGGTAGGCTGAGGCGGCCTGGAGGTGGCAACCGCAAGCGGACTTGATCGACGCGAGACGCCATGGTTCGATTGCTGGACCGTCATGACGTAGCAGGCTGAGCTGGACGTGCGATGCGAAGTCTTTACGGACCACGCTATTGATGAGGCAGGAGCTAGTTTCCCGCGCACGGGATTGTGAGCAATTTGGGACTGGTTCAGCAACGCGAGGCGGTGCTGCGACCACTAGCTGACTTTGAATATTCGTATTGGCTGTTGGATCGCCATGTGTTGTGGATGTTTGGCAGCGGCAGCGGACAGGCATGGCGAACGGCCGTAGGAACGGCATTGTGAACTTTGTAACGGGTCACCAAAGGTTGGTTGTGATGATGCCCACCAAGACCATTGGCGCACGGTACGAGGTCGATACACGCCCAGGCCGTCAGATGTGACAAGTTGATGCTTAGAGATTGGCGAGCCGGTTGGGCGGTAGCGCGGCCAGAGACGGACGGAAACGCACCCTTGCGCAGACACACGGGTGTCAGATCGTTTGATGAGATCCAACCAGATCTGGACCCGGTGACCATGCGGGATGGAGCGTGGGAAGCCGGAGCAAATCGGTGGACTAGGTGAGGGATCTAGGCCAGAAAGCATGGCGAAGCGAAGGGGGAGAGCTTGAAGCCATATGAGAATCGTACGATGTCGTCCATGGAGAAGCGCGAAGGTTTAAACGCCGAGTCGAATATGGACAATGGTGGTGCCGTTTAGACAAGCCAGGCAAGGCCCAGAGGCTAGGAGAGCAGGTGGCGGCCAGGGACCTGGGCTGTAGCATGGCATACCTCTGTCTCTGTCCGGACCCATGTGGTCCGAGTCAGCGTGTTTGAAGGGGGAGGGGACCACAGTCCTTCTACACACACACTATTGCCTGCCCGTTGTTGTCGTTGTGTCCCTGTTCTACGCCTTAGCAGAGAGGAACGCCATCCGCGGCCATTTGCAAGGAATCCGTGGCCAGCTAGGGTCTGGCAGCTGGAAGCGATAGGGGAGAGAAGCCATCAGGACTCATACTGTGTACATTATGCCACACGGCATCACCGTACGGTGATGAAGTACTGCGGCTGGGTATTGGTATGGATCAGGGAGAGAAATGGGCCGGGCCCAGATCCGAAGATCTCAGTAGCATAGCTTATCTGCGTTCAGGGCTTGGGGACCCCACGTGGCGGGGGAAAGGCACGGAGCTTTGCGCCATAGCAGAGATCAACGGGCAACGGACGTTGTCTTGGTGTATGGCTTGGGCTAGACCAGGCCGGGCGACGAAGTGATTTCCCAAAATGCTTTGGTGTCAGATGGGAAAGTGAAGTGTGTAAATTAGGCGTAGATATTGCTGAGGTCGTTGGCGTTAATTTCCATTTCCATTCTGCTCTGCAGCAACTGCCGTCATTGAGATCGGCCCCAGTAACTCGTCCGAGCATTTCTCAATGTCTTTGTGTGCCCCGAACAAGACTCCTGAGGGGTGTACTCCGTAGGAAGGACGCTCTGACGTGTTCGGAGTTCCTCGGGCGGACGCAGACAATAAGCGGAGTGTATGGGGCCGACACAAGAGGTTAGAGACATTGGATAATGACCCTGGTATGTATGTTGGATGGATTGCAACTTGTCATTGGAAGGGGGTGGAGAGGAGTTGGGGACGACGTTGGAAACGAGAGCGAGTGAGGATCAAGCGATGGCAACAATCCTGGGATCCTAAACAGTCGGTCAGATGGTTGACAGGCAATATGCACGATACGAACCCAAAGATCGGGTCGCGCTCGCTTTGGAGAGCTCCACTGTCACCGCAGGTGAGGGGCCGATCTTGCAGTTGCGGTCGGCAAAGAAAGGAAAAGAGGGACTAGAACTTCCAGGAAGGTTGTCATCTGTTGCTGGCCGTTGGTCAGCAGGCGGGAAGAGGGTTGGCCCGGTTGAGTTTGTGAGTGGAGGCAGCGAAAGAACATGAGACTGTGACTTGACCAGGTACGGGCAATGTACCTTAACCTCTGCCTCGGGCCCGGAGTGGAGCTCTAGTGTCTCCTTCCTCGTGTTCATCGGCAGGGAAAAGGCCGCGCTATGAAATGTCATTGGTTTGGGAAGGCTCTGACCGAGGTGGAGCATAGTGCCTGATCTCGCATGGCATGGAGACTTAGTCGACAGGTACATTGCAGCTACAAGCTTGGGTGGTCTGTAGATTTTACCCATCATCCATCAAGTGCCCGAGTGAGGAGGACGGGAGTGGGCAATAACGTTCGATCATTCAACAGCTCACTAGTTCCTACAGGTTGGCTGGAGACCGGGAGATCATGACGGGGCCGGCCAATCCGCACCGGGTAGATTGCTCGTGAAGACTCAGTTCCAGAACGATAAGAGTTTCAGACCCTGCAATAGAGCGGGCAACATTGGTGAAGTATGACCCTTCAAGCTGAGAGAGAAAGTTCGTAAGTTGTGTAATAGGTGCTCAGAAATGGTGCTACTTGAGGATCTGAGTCGACAAAACTTACCCCACGATCCAGCAAGCACGGGATGCCCGAGCACGATTTGACTATGTACGATGGGCCAGTCTACCTTACCTTGGTTTGAGCAAGCGGCAGAAAGGCAGAAAATAGGGTGCGTGGATTTGCAACGTCAGGTACTGAGGTACTGTGCAGTGTGTATACTACCTAGGTGTGTGGCGGGTAAGGTAGGCCCTTTGAGTGAAGAGCGATGCATGGCTAGGAACCTGGAAGTCATGGTTTACGGTGTAGAAAGAAGCCCGGGCTCCTGCTACAGCATGGGAGAGATGAAGCCCGCTAAGACGTTGACGATTACGGGAGTTGGAAATATCACGCCACACACGAGTCG